CAAGCGGTGAATATTCCTAGTGAGTTCATAGCTTTAATTTTAATAATTTACGAGCTGTTGTTATCTAGTTAGTTAATAGGAATTTTCCCATAATACTTGGAATGTATGTAGTATTAGTTGCTTTTCTACCTATAATGTCTATGTTTGAAACAATAGGCAGCAATAAAAAAGCAATTTTTCTCCTTGCCTAAAAAATAAAGGTACTAAAATTTAATTTTGTAGATCATTGTGTTAGTACACAGAAGATCATTTTTTTCAAGTGATATATGTTTTGAACTGGTTTACTGCTAGTCTGCTGGCATGTTCTGGTGTTTGCAAACTTTATTAGCTGTTACTTAGTTTCGCAAAAATAATAGAGCAAAAATTACTCATTCTATTCTCAAGGTTTTGTTTTATCACAAGTAAAGACTTCTCTGTTGTATTAGTTGTTGTCATGCCTGTATCTATCATCTATAATTTATCATATGCAAAATTACCTACATTGTAATAGGTATTGATAGTCATGATAGTGTACAATTGCCATGTTTTAATAGCAGAGCGCAGAAAAGTGGTGCAACTCTTTTGAAGTCATATGAGAGGTCAGTGGCAGAGGTGAGGTTACATCTTGGATCCTGCATTTAAATATATATGAAGGTACAAATATATGAAAGCATATGAATATATGCATGTATTATTAAAAATATATATTTGAAGAATCATCTCTTTTTTACTTTATTATAGAGCATAGAACAGATACTACTTTTCAGCACTGCAGCTATGGGAAGGATGAAAACTACATCCCTCTAGTTGCTTTCTGGAAAAATGACTGGTCTAGATCCTGGTTTATGGATACGCGTAGTTTTCTGGCAAGCTGACATGGTATGTTTTTGTCACCAGTAAAGTCTATAGACTGCAGCAATCCTTTGCTGTAGTCATGGGAAAGTGCCGTGCTGGTGTTACGACCCTTCCCAAATTCAGACAAGTGTGCCAGCGTTAACGGTGCGCAGCCGTGCTTCTGTAAATACAGATTGGGCAGTTGAGGGGGTCATCGTGTCAGTGACAGGTGTCATTACTTAGGAATTTTGTTCAGGCTTTTACCAGTTCTGGGGGCAGCATAAGCAGCAGAGAGTTCGTCACCCCAAGCCCATCAGCACATTTCCTATGCTCTCACTCCTCCCGTGTCCAAATGTCATTGTCTGAGCTGAGGCATTGTACTGGTGCCATCTGTGCCTCCCGTGGCCCCTGCCTGTGCTCTCCTATTCCCCCCTTTTCTGTAGCTTGGGATCACAGCTTTGCTTCTTAAGCTATCTATTCTTTTTCATGATGTTATCAGCTTGGTGGCGGTGGGCTTGCCTGGTTGCCATCCTGTCACTGTTGCCTAGCTCAATGGCGGTACAGTTGCTGGATGGCGAAACCGTTACCCAACAACAACAGCTGTGCAAACAAACAAGACAGCATTGATATTCATCAGTAGCTTTGTGCAGCCATGGCATTGAGATACACCAGAACATGTGCAATCTGTCTGCTTTCTTTGTCCCATGGTGTAGCCGCGTCGGCCACTCTGCGCTGGTGAGGGCCTGATTGTGATGCCGTGGTGTGCCCTCGCCTCCTTCCCTTCTTCCTTTGCTTTTCCTTCCTCTTTGGGGGCTGTCTGGCTGATCCCAGACACATCTGCCCCGTGTCCCATCTGCCCTCCATGAGATGCTCACACAGTTCTAACAAGCAGTATTTGAGTAGTACAGTGTACTTCTGGAGATGGCAGAAAACAATAATTTGTATTGTTAATGGCATGTCACTAATGCTTCCTGCTTCTAAAACACTAAGCAAGGCAAACAATGGGGAACGTTGGCTTATGGACTTACTGGTGAGTAGTTGTTTCAGAATCCTATATGCACAAGTGAATTTTTCCCACTGCACTTACCTCAAGTAACAATGCCCTTAATAGCTTGTAACTTTTTCCAAGGCATGATGTGTTTTCCTTAAAAAAAAAAGAAACATCTTTTTCAGAAGTTGTCGTCTTTCCTTCCTGGTATCAGTGGCAATATTCTTTACATTAAGGAGCACAAGTGTATGATAAAATTCTTATTTACTTATTCTGTGTTTTTCAAGGAAAAAATATTAGCCGGCTCTCAAGAAAAAAAAAATTCTAAAGTCGGAATGAATTTAAAGCCAAGATTGCCCTTGCCTCTGCATGCAATTATGCATGTCTATTGGATAGCTTATGGTGGTGCAAGTAACTCTTCAGAACATCTTTCCGTGATGTGTAGTAGCTTCCAGCAGGAACTTGCCTTGTGACAGCTCCCCTGTCAAATCAAACAAAGATAAAGGGAGCTCTCTCTCTGGGTGAAGGAAGATGATGATACACAGCATTGGCAGGTATAGGCCATGAAACTGTTTTGTTGTGGAATCACTTCTAGCTTTGGGTTAAAGATCTGTGGAGCTATGTGATCGAAAGTGCGGTTACTAATTAGTATGTATTTACCTTTACCGATCATATTAACTGTCGTGTGTCGCAATTCCACGTTTACCGTGTTGAAGCTAGCGCAGCTGTCTTGTGTTACTGCTGCAGGGGTTTACAACACGAAGCTGTGATGAACAAGAACAGCTCTATCTGTTAGCATGTTCGCCTGCAATTTGGAATTCACTGTAAGCAAGTGCTTGGTGTCCACAGCGTAAGCAAGGTGGACAGGATTTTACAGGGCTGGCTGAAAGGAATTGGGCATGCACACAGGGAGAGAAGTGATTCTTTTTGCTGGTGTTTGTTTCATAGCCTTGTAAGTCTTTTCCTTTAGTAACTCTCTGCTTGCCCAGAATGTCACAAAGGGAAAAATAAAGGCTGGAAGCCTAAGTCAAAAGAAGGAGCGAGGCTAAGGAGACTTCTAGTGAGGAGAAAACTTTAAACAGCTTTTGGTCAGCGAACGGGGCTGGCTCAGGGTCCGTGTTTTCGGTTCCACGCTTGCTAGAAACTGCTTTGTCTGTTACCCATGTTAACTGCTTGTGAAAGCTGTTATTCCACAGTGGCTGCGCTGTGCTGCACTGTGCCGTGTTCAAACAGCTGACCTCCGTGGAAGAAGTCAAGGATGGACTTGTGTATTTGTCTTGCATGGGTTTTACAAGAGTGTACCTGTTTTTTCTTGTCTGTCTGTTTTTTCCCCTGAGAGCTTTGTAAGGCAGTATATTTTATCATCACAGCATAACTAAGCATCGTAAAGCTGGCAATGCCTACAGTGAGTTTCAGGAGGAAAAAATAAATTGGGACTACGTGAGAGAATAGTATCTGCTATGCTGCAAAACACTGTGCATGGGATCTGTAAAATAAAGTATATAATCACAGCACTCATGATTGATTAGATGTGATTAGTAAGTAGTACAGTGGTATTGGCTCTGTGCATTAATTCTTGTAATTGTGCTTTTCAGATCAGCAGCTTGAAAATTTATCAAGTTGGTATGTCAGTGCTTGAAAAGTTGTATCAAGGAATTTAGCAAATAGACCAGGGAGAGGAAGGGGTGAGCACAGCAGTTTATCACCTTTGGAAAGTGTTAGACTGATAATGGTGCGTAACAGATAGGTGAGCTATTCCTGCAAGATCTGCCATGGGTTACTGAGTCAAAGGCATCTTCTAAAGGGTTACAAATGTAGTTACAGTTGAGCAGTGTACTGTATCATCATCCACCACTTTATACTGTGTATTCTCATTTTCATTTTGAACTGAGCCCTGGTGGTTTAACCGAATGGGATTTCCACCCCCCAGCCTTTTTAAGGTACGCTGTCAGTCGGTTGCAGCAGCACTGTGTGGACACACTTGCATATGAAAACAGGATGATCAGGTGGGATAGATAATTTAAGGATGAAGCATTTATGTGTATCCTTGAAAAATATCCTGCAGCAATTTTCTGTGATTTCTTTAATATTCAACTCTGAAGGCTACTAATCCAATCTTGACATTTCAGAAAAGTACTTAAGCAATAATCAACCTTTTCTCTGCAAAACACATCATGGTTGAAAAAGCTTATAACAGTTCTTCTCTGTAATCCAAGAACACTTTTGTGAGAGAGGAGGAATTATAGTCAAGTTATGCAAATGGTATTCATATATGATTTTTGCAAGTATTTTGTTAAAATATCTGGTGAATTCTTAGCTTTTTCTCCTTCTTGTTTGAACGCGGCTGTTACTACTTGAATTCTGCAAATGGAAGCAGTGAAAGTTTTATTACAGGTGGCCCATAAACAGAGTACTCCTGCAGCGGGCTGTGAATAAAGATTGCAATTGTGTAGCGAAGCAATTTGTCACTGGCTGCTAAAAGGCCTGAGGTTAAATGAATGGCTGACAATGTGACTATTGGACGTGTTACTTAGCAAATTCTTGTGGCTGGTATCAAGTCCACATTTGCTTTAACGTTGCCTTAATTTGCCTTAAAGGGAACCTCTCTTCATCTCTCATAAGCATCACTCATTTCTGGTATGAGAAGGAGGATCTGGTCCTTGAAACAGAACAGATCTGCTAGTGAGCCTAATATTGAGAAATAATAAAACTGGAGGAAATCGAGTTATACTAAAGGAAAGCGGAAGACCTAAAGTTACGCAGAATTTTTTACTGCATTGTTCCTTGTTACTGTTTTTGGTTTGTTTACTTTGTGGGACCATTAGCTGCTACGCATGGTAGCCTTGCATGGGTAAGAGGAAGCCGCACTCTGTCCTTCTGTGGGACTTGCTGGAGTGCTGCTGTAGAGGTGAGTAGGTGCAGCATGAGAGGAGCTCGTGTTGTCCTGCTCGTTTCCAGGGAATGGAGTTTCACAGGGAATCTTACTATTTGTGCTGACTCACTCATGGAGGTTTTTTGCTTACTGAGAGGTTTTGTCTCAGCCCTTGAATTCTGGGCAGTTGTCTCCGGAAATACTGTGGGTGAGGTTTGCTCATTGCGATCTTACTACTTGTGCTAATCTGGTGCTTTTTGGTTTTCTCTCTCCCTCTTTTTTTCAGATGAAATATCCTTGGAGCAGCAAAATTTTTCCTTTTTCTTAATGGACTCAAAGGTGCACCAAAGCATATCAGGCAGCAGGACGCAAATGGCCTTAGCAATAAGTACTTTGGAGTCCCGAGGAAGCCATTTCCTTCAAACAGTTTTATCATCAGTTACTGCTCCCTTTGATGCGACTTTATTTAACCAAGAAGAAATGGTCGGGATTTCAGAAAGGAGAAGTACGCCGTTGGTAGATGTCTCCATAACAAGCAATGAGGCATTCTTAAGTGACCATGAATTTATTAGCTTGTTTCCAAAGGCACAGTGGACTCCTCCACTGAAGTCTTTTGCGGTTTTAACAGATGATCACTCAGTTAATACAGTAGAGCCACTAAGAGAAACGTTAGAAACTGTGTTGCTGACACCTTCGTTATCTGTCCTTTTTTCACCATATGATTTCTCAAAAATAGCACAGCAAAAGACTCCGTTGAGTGCTGGCCCTGAACGCAGTAACACTCTTACAGAGTTGGAGTCTTTTGTACCAGATAGTGAAATGCTAACTGCAAGCAGAGACTTGCCATTGTACCCTCCAAATACAGCTATTTATTTCACTTCCATTTCTCCAGAGGCAGGAGTTGTAGTACAGGAAAACATAAATGCAAGTTTAACAGCTCTGCCTTTTGGGGCTGCTTCAGAAGGGTCACCTCTTCATCTTAAGCTGCTGGATAAAAATAGCAGTGTGACCCCAGATGCCACAGCACCAAGCGCAGACCTGTATGGTGACTTTTATGCCTATGCAAATCGCAGGGCAGCAGAAACTCTCAATCTAAGGACCTACCCCACTCCAACCATTCCCTGGGCCCCGCCGGCTTCAGCAGTCAGCACTGCGCCTGCTTTGTTTCCTATTAGTCTTCCAGTTGCATCTTTCCCACTTGGCTCAGCCGCCATCTCCATGGACTCTGATATGGTTCTTAATGCCAGACTGTTTACACATGAATTCTCCAGTGCAACACCAAATTCGCCTGCTGGTTCAGAAATACCAAGTCAATCAGAGCTTGTCAGCGAGCTCGTGAGTCCAGTGCCTTTCACGAGATCACACAGTTCTTGTCTGTATTGTGACTCAGTTTCACTTCTGACAGAGGCAGGCTTTTCCCCAGAACATGACGTGGGCTCAGGTGACTATGTGGAAACTTTGTCCATCCATGCCTCTGAAGTACAAGGCATAACTCCATTTACAACTATGATCACTGACGGGTACGAATTAGAGGAGCCTACACCTGAGATTTTTGATACATCTTTTCCATCAAGACCAGTTGTTTCATTTTCTTCAAGATTTTCAGAAATGCCGGACTCCAGTGTGTTTTTATTAAGCACTGTGGACACTGTCCTTAACAATAGAACACCTATAGCAATTTCTTCTTCTTACCATCAGCTCCCTGGAGTAACATCAATGAACATCTCTGTTGCCCAATTTTCCCTCTCTGTTCTGGAAACAGTTTTGTTGGCACCAAACACTCGTGTAGAACTTCCTGATGCCACCACTGTTCTGTTTGACTCAACCTTCATCTCAAGTGAGCTGGTAGCATCGTTTGCTACAGTCAGTCATACGACTTTGATGGAGTTGCCAGAATTAATGCCATCAGAATCTGTGGTTTTGCTTGACAAGACATCTACGAGAGAAGAACCATCTTTAAATATTTCAGATTTTCCGTCCAGTCTATTATCAACACCATTTCTTATTGAACCTAGCTACTTGTCTTTATCATCAGCCATGCTGAATTCTTACTCTGTCATGCAAAGTGATTTATCAACACTCTTACCTCAGACCTTGTTGACTGGTATAGCGGTACTTTCTGAGGATATTTCCAGCTGGGAGTTAGCTACCACTGTCAGCTCTGCCACTGACGCTGAGGTTTCTCAGTTCCCTCTCGGCCAAACATCATACTTTTATTCAAATACATCCTCTGTTCCAGATGCACATGTTCCTGAGATAACACTGTCATCAGATTTTCACTCTGAGTCGTCTGTGTTTCTGGAAGCACCTTCAGTATTGCCAACAGGCTCTGAAGTTGTGTTTACCTCAGCTGTTACAGGAGCTACCTCTCAGCTGGAGCCCTCACTCTCCGCCTCTCACTCCGTGGTTCCTACCCTGGTGCTGCCAGCTTCCGACACCCAGTCTGTTACCAGCAGCATCTTGGTCAATGAAACAAATCTGATCTCTTTGTTTACTACCTTTCCGACAACTCCTGTCTTAAATGTATCTTCATCTCTGCTCTCAACTGCTCTGGCTTCTGATGAGGATATCGGTGCTACAGTTAACCCCACGCTGCTTTTCACATCTCGCAGCGAGGGTGGTGCCCACACAGCCCTTCCTCCCATGGACCTGGACAACGTGACATCACGTGTCGACACCAGCAGCGTGATGCTCTCTCCTACAGCATCTCTGTCTGTGACCATGTCATTTGCTCCTACGCAATTTCCTCCGACTGCTAGCCCTCCCACTGGAAATGAAGATACAGCAGGAAGCAATGTAACTGCTGATACTGATGCGTCAGCTGCTCCCACCACTGTCCCCATGACCACTGGTGCCAGTGTTGCGGGCAGCCGCGGCACGACTGCTGTAGGCAGCCTGGGGACGTTCTCCTCCACCCCTCTGGCAACCACTACTCCATTCGAACCTGTGGTTGTAACCTCCGCCGTGACCACTACCAGGCAACCCTACGTCTGCGACATCACGATTCCCGATGCTTACTTAGTCACTGCGGGTAAGATATTCCTAACATTCTGACCTGGTTTTGCACAAGCTACTGTAATGTGACTCCCTGAATGTGGCCTGCTGAATCGCAGGTGTAGAATTAGCTAAGTGAGCCTTTGAAAGAAATACAGTGTAAATTTATACAAACAGCTGTAAAGGCATTGATTTATCATTTACTCTTGAAAGTAACAGAATTAGTTCTCTTGAGCAAGTCCGTGGTGATAGTGAGTTACAGATACGTTACGCTGCACAGAGAATGAAATTGTCTTCTAAAACTGCTGATGCGTGCACACGAGTATACTGAATTGGAGGCTGCTTCATCGTTTCATGGCTCGTGAATGAATGTTACTGTCATGCTGCTGTGCTGCCGAACTGTTAAGTGTTCTGACTGAATAAGTTTCTCCTTTCAGTTGTTGCTGCTGTTTGTAGAAAGCCTGCATGCGAGGTAATGTTGTAATACAAAAGAGAAGAATTGGTTTAAAAAATGTTTGCGTTTAATTACAATTTTCGTAATTTTACTATACTAGCTTATGTTTAAATTTTCCCTCCTCCCTACTTACTTCAATTGGCTTTGGTGTGTTTGTAACCAGAAAAAGTGACGTTAGTGTGTTTCAGAATTAATCGTTTCAGCATCTGTGTTTGCTTTTTTGGTGTTTTCCTACCTCTTCCTAGCTTGTTAACAAAATAATACCAGCAAACTAATCCAGAGCAGCTGCAGAAATGCTGCATGTTTTGTGGTAGGCAACACATTTTGTGCTGAAGATATACTTGTAATATGTGAAGCAGAATGGGCATAATCTCATCTTCTGGCTATGCCAGTGATAAGAAAGATTTATTTTTTTCACCTGTAATTTGAGTAGTTTTGTAGGCAAGTTACTCATGGAAGGTGAATGCAGGATGACAACACAACACTTTCCAGTTGTTTCCGTGACTGTCGTCACAGTCTCAAGTGTGACTGTAACAGACATGACATCCATAGGGACGCGGGGTTTTTAAAGCAGTTTCTCACTCAGTCAATATCCCTTTCAGTCATCAATGTCGTGTTTGTTTACTTTTTATTTAAAGAAAAGTAGATGTGTATTTTCTGTGGCTTTTTTGTGACCTCATCTGCATTCCATGTGTTGCCTACAAAACTTTAACTGCATTATGACAGCAGACTCGTCATTCATAGGTCAGACTGAACGTGCTACAACTTTCAGATCCAATTTGAATGCCTCAGTGGCTCTTTAGAAGATTCTTTTACTAGAATACTAGATAGGGAAAAACAAATGAGAGAGTGAAAGTGAACCTGGAGTTCTTTAAACTGTATATACGGTCACTTTTTTAGGATACAGTCACACCTTTACCTGTTTCCTTCTCCATCATCTTATCCTTTTGATGCAGTTGATCTCATTGCCTGCTTTTTCATGCATTGCACAATTGAAAATGCAGCTTTGAACCAAAGCCCGAGAAATGAAGCTAAAATATATTTACAGACTGACATTAATTTCCAGTGCTGGCCCGAAGAGCTGTTCTACAAAATGTCAGTGAATCCATCAGAGAAGTGCTCAGAGTTCAGTTCAGGCGATCCGTAGAGCTAGAGGTAAGTGGTACGAAGCGTGTACAAGTACTCTTTGATCAATATAATACAACAGTGGTTTTATTTCACAGGCTTAAACGGTGATTTAAAAACCAACTTGTGGTACTCTATCAGAGAGAGGTTTATTCTAGCTTAAATGTTAGTCATGATGTGGGTGGGTTTTTTTAATGTGAATGACATAAGCTTTTTCACTTTCAGAACGTCATCATTTTCTAGGACAGACCTTTCTTGGTTTTGCCAGAGGTGAGCAAACGGTGCTCAGCCTCTACTGCTCACCTCCTTTGAATTGAAACCAAGCTGAAAAGCTTTTATCCTTTGAAATACTTGTTAAAAAGTTTTGTTTCTTCTGCCAGCTGGTTATATACTGAGAACCTTAAACAAAACAAAACCTTCTGCACAGCCTTGTGTTATTTTGTGTTGTGAGGCCATCAACACTTGCAGGGAAAGTGGTGGAATCCCAAATGTGTGATTTGGCAGATGAAAAAGGCAGGGAAAAAAAATCAGGTGTGCAATGGTAAGATGTTATTTTTAAGCTTCAAACAGGTGTGACTCCTGTCCTTCCCCCCACTCACAGGGCTAAGAATTGCTGCGCTCTTGGTTTCTTTTGAAAGCGTCCTCTGTTTTGATGTTCAAGGAGTCATCTTTGAACAATATTTCAATGTTGTTTCCTAACCTCAAAATAAGTGTCTGATTGAGATGAGGTTTAAAGGCTTGATTCCCCCCTCTGTCTCAAACCCTCTGTCTGAGAGGAAAAGACTGTAGAGATAGTTTGGGGGTACCTTTGTTGTAAAATCAGATACTTCAACACTGGAGACAAAATGTTTTAATGGAATTACTGGTGTAGGTGCAGATTCAGCTGCACTTGCAATTTTTTATGTCTGTGTCCATCCAGTTGTAATAACCTAGCACCGCATTATCTTCCTTTTTTGAATCTATGATCTCGTTTTCATTGCGAAGTTCACTCAAGTAGCAGTTTGAATTTTGAACATAACTTGAGTTTCTCCATGTACAGAATCCCTTGGTGCCTCTAACTTCTGCTTGCTGATCTGTGTGGGGAAACAGTGTTTTGACAGTTGCTGCCATAATCACTGCACTTAGTAATTAAACAACTTCTGTCTGCTGAATATACCTCTCTGTTACTCAGTCAACATATGAGTGTTACAAATCTCTGCCAAACTTCAGCCACAGTGAGCCGCCACTATAAATTGTGTTTAGTTTAGGTCCTTTTAGCAATACCTGCCCATGAGCTTTTTAGGATTTTTTGTAAATAAGAGATTTTTCTTCTGTTTTGTGAATTATACCCTCAGATTGTGCAAACTGGCATAGTCAAGTAGAAGTCAAAAGTTCATGGTGATAGAACTACACTAGTTTTCAGTGACCTTAACATGGCTCAATAGTATGGAAGCACTTATTCCCTTAATAGTAACAGCAGTAGGACAAAATCTGTTGCTAAATATTTGAAGGTTGATTGGCTCAAACATTTGATATCTTGCTTCTTTACATTTTTTCCCTTTAAATTCCTTCCTTTCATGCCCACTATTGCCTTGTAAAGCTCTCAATAGGATATTTTGACCCTAAGGCTGCTCAGAAGCAACTGTTTTTATAAGTAATGCAGTTAGTCTGGCTTTATGCTTTGCAAATTCTATTTTATCAAAAGGAGAAGACATCTCTGTGGAATCAGTTATGCTTATTTTATGCTAGAATGCTGCTGTCATATGTGTTCTCTTTGTGTGGCCTTGTGTATGAGTTTTGCACTAAAAATAATGACTAGCAAATGTATTCACCTCTAACAGTGAAGTACTACCAAAAGTGTTATTTTAAATAAAGATCCGTCTATAGTATCGGCATGTTTAATGGTGATGTAATGCAAAAATTTAAACAGAATTCGTCTATTATTGCTAAACTTAATTAATCAAACAGACCTGACTTTTGTTACTTGAGAATACTCAGGAACTGTGTGTACATTTGCAAGTTATGGTAAAGCAGTGCACTTCTCTAAGCTGCGTTTTTACTGTGTCTCGTATTACAGCTCACAGATGTTGTTCCCTTGCTGTGATGTAATGCGCAGTAAATCAGTAGACAGTCTTGTTAAATTTAACTCAATAGTAATGTATGCCTTAAAAAATAAAATCCATGGCAACAATGGATATAACTGCTGCTCAATTTAAGTACAAACCAAGTTTAACACCGAAAGGAGAATTAAAACTTTTTTTTCCCAACTTTTTCAGTTGAAACTTTGGTCTCTGCTTCTCTATTATTTCAAACATTCTGAGTTGTTGATGTGGAAAAAAACCCCAAACAAACAAAAAAAAAAAGGCAGGCCTGAATCCTGCCAAATGAAAAAAACTTTTGTCAATTTTTTCCTAGCAAAAGTCCTTACAGCAAAGTGAGAATAACCTATTTTTTTAAAAGTTCTTTTCAGTTGGTCTCAATGTATTGCATCTGCAAAAGAATAAGACCCTATTGTTTGAATAAGAGCAATTTTTGTCAGCTTTCTCTAACGTAAACCGTATGACACTTGGGTAAGATCTGTTATACAACGTTCTGTTGACTTAGCTTTGTTGCACTGGGGTGTGAAATAGAGCAGTGTTGGCAGTGACTCGCTGCCAGGACCCCCTGGTGCCATTAAGTTCATGCCAACAGGAAAGAGCATTTTGCCAGCTTCGTTTGTGCTTGGAAATTTTGTCATGCAGTATGATGTGTACCTCAGCCACTTTGTTGCTGTATTTAATGTGGAGTTTTGGACCTGCCCTTAGCGTATTGATTTCTATAAGCCAAAATGGGTAAATCTCTGCCTTCAGAGGAAGCAGATCGGTTCACTTTGACTGAAAGTTAAATACTTCTTTCCAAGATGCCACCTTGTAGGCTTGCACTTGGCTTCAGTGCTGCGGAAGTTCTGGCTGGTACCGTTTGGGTGTGTAAAAATGGTGAGAGAATTGTTGCCTTAAGATCCTAACCTGCTTGGGAGCAGCAGCTTCGTTTCATTTTTAAGACCTGTGAGCCTTTGTAGCCCATCTTCAGGAAGTTAAACACTCTCTGAAGGCTCTTTATGGGAAGCTTAATAAGGTGGTGATGAGGAAATCGGTTGTTTATGCTTTCTGCCAGATGTTGACACAGCGTAATACAGTGGAGTGTGGGCATGGATTAATTTGTAGCAAAGGTGCATCTAATAAAATATTTTAGTGGCCAATAATCAATAGCAAATGCTTAGGGAACGTCATAAGGGACAGAGTAAGTGTACAGTGATGTTTTCTTCAAATACTCTTCTAGCCTCTAGTAAATTGAGGCTCAAAAACTTTCTATACTAGAAGCACTCTCTGTTGAAGGTAGCTTTGAATGAGATAGGTTGTGTCCTGGAGACAGCAGAGCTGGAGTAGCCGTCACACTTTGGAGAAGGGATAGCTTAACTTGAGGTGGTGTAAGGGTTCTCTACTCGTACCGAAGGTTTCTGATTTTGCTGTGGGAATGGCTCCAAAGTACCTATGGAATTTTGCGTGCTTCTCCAGCTTTCTAGCCCAAAGTGTTAAGATAAGAAATTTGAACTTGTTAAATAAAAGAAATTTGTGCTTGTTTACTTTAGTATGTGGCGCTCTAAAACGCGGTGGTTCAGCTAGCTAATTTGTTAGCCTCTCGCTGTCCTAGCAGTAGACGTGGAACCTCCAAGAGAGCATTGGATGGATGGATGGGTTTGTGAACCATTAGAGCTGTGCCAAGAGGAGCTATTCTCATTTATGAATCGAGTCGTGAGCTGTGCTCATCTATCCTAGATAACTTTGCAAACTTCTCTGTGAATTAGCTTGTAGACAGCATCATGCTGGCATGGCGATATTATTTCTGTCATCCGAATTGGGCTGTAGAGAGCAAACTCAAGACAACCCTGCAATGTCTCAAGCAGACATAGCTGTCGTTTTGACTTGTAATGGATCTAGTCCCCCTATCTCAAAATTACACTTAAAAGTTTTTTTTTTAAATTTCCGTTCTTCTGGAGTTGCAGTTTCTGCTGCAGTGAGGCACAAAAGTGAAAAACTGTTAGCTGTTAAGATGAGAAAGTTGATGCAAAATTGCAGGGGGTGTTTGGAGTAGGCTGCTTTTGTTGCATCTGTGGTGCACGGCAACAGGTCAGAGGCGGAGACAGCTGCGTTAGTTATCAGAGGCGTTCTTTCTCATCTGAAATACCTAACTAGTGCATAAGTATATGCTGGCTACACTACGCTCCTCTTCCTCAGCATATATTGCTTTATAATTCACCAGCAAATTGTCACTGACATTTGTAATTTTTAATTCCTCTTTTTCTTGCCTTTTAAGTAGTCTCCTTTGCAAGTAATGGGCAACTTTCTTTTGGCATTTCTCACCCATTATAACTGCTGTTTCCATTTGACAAACTGAAGCTGCAGAGATCGTTTCATCCTGAGATAAAAGGATAAAATTTTAGATAAGAGGATCTGGAAAGAGCTGTGCATATTATTCATATCAAACAAATTTGAGATCTATGGGTCTAAATCCATTTAAAATAAAAGCTGGATTTTGCATATGTTTGCAGACTAAGAAGGAAGAAAAGAATAATGAGCAGCATAGATTGCTTTTTTATTTCCTTCTGCTACTGAGGTAGTTTCTTCTGGTGAAGATGATCTCTTTGAAATGCATGGTTTTTAGAGGACAGGAAAGAGCTTCTTGCTGTCTCATCTAAACAGCGATTGCCGTCACTTTATACTGTTGCAGAAATACCGGTAAGGAACATGTAGGTCCCAATTTAAGTAGCACTGTGCTTTCCTGTAAGGCTGGTCCTGAAGTTGAGGATATCTAACATGTCCCTTCACCAGCACAAAGCCTGCAAGGTGCTAGCACTTCTTCATCTAAGAGTTGCTCATTTATCAGAACCTTTGGGTCTCTGGTTTAGATTATTTATTTATTTGTGAGGCCATCATGTTGGACATCTCAGAATACTTTAGTGTGACTGCCTTAGGCAAATAAAGCAAACTGGGGGAGTAAACCAAAGAGGAAAGAAGTAATTCTGGAGAAACAGGTGTCCTTAGTATTGAGAGACTTTCTCTGAAGGAGAGAAGACACTGCAATATTTTTAAATAAATAAAAGCCTTCAGTTTGTTCTAACTTAGGTGACAGAGAAATAGTGGATAAGAGTTTCTACATGGAAACATTCACCTAGGTTTGTATTTAACTTACAGTCTCATTTCTTTTACACGATGACTCAGGCTCCTCAGGGTTTTTTCAAGACGACTCGAAGTCAGGAGATGAATTGAAAGAGGAAAATCGTAATTGTGGTAACTGTGGTGAAATAGGCAGATAGAAACCTTCTCTGGTAGGAAGTGTTCTTGAGTGTGAAAATTATATCCATAAAACACAGGCTATGTGTATTTTGCTCCTTGCATATCACATGTGAATGGTATAGGATGTATTCGCTATGCAGTATATGACTGAAATGCAGAAGGTTCAGTAAGTAAACAGCAATTTTGCGTGGGAACTCTTATCTATGCCAAGGGAATGCAGGCAAGCGGGAGTGCTACTATGCTGTGATGTGATAAATCAAGAAGCATTGAGATTGGTGTGTTGTACTGAAGAGACTAATAGGTGCCCCTAGCACAGGAGAGTTGCCTCTCTGATGGTCTGGAGCAGAGGCTGCAAGGCATGGCACCTTCCCAGTGTTTGTAATGCTGCTCTCTCTTTGAAAAATGAAGATTGCATTTTCCTACTTCTTGATGAAGTGGCTTTGAAATGCATGAGACTATGTAGGTCTAAAGTGTTGCCACATTTCACATCGAAGATTATTTAAATTATTTTTTTTTCCTCTTCTTGTAGGTTTATAAAATTTCCCCCAAATTTACTTTCCTGGTGACATCAGGTCCTTTTGTTTACACGGCAGTAGCTGTCATAAATGTGCTTATGAACAGCAGTCTTCTTCGTGGTGAGGCCCCTATGATCCTCTCACTGCATCCTTCTTTCACTGTGCCAGATAACAGATTCCAAGTTCAGACAGGTGAGTTCAAAACCCTGTGTTCTACTGCTGTGAATCTCAGTTCTTGGTTATTAGTGAAATACTTGCCGGATTTGTGGTTGAGACATGATAAATTGTAAACATTTAATCCCATAATTTCATTATTTTTTCAGGAAAGTTTTTTTGGCATGTTGCAAAATACATGTGCTCTTTTTCTTGCTTCAAAAGGTGAGAAGAGAAAAAAATTTGTGTGAAACATTTACTTATAAAAACACAATGCAGCTACTTTATACTTTAAAGTATACTTTAATTGCTACTTTTTAGGATTATCATAATGTAGGACAATTGGTGAGCTGGAGGATTGATTGCTCATGTATAATGTGAGCAGGAGAATTGCTCATGTAGTGTTCAACTTTCCATGGCTGCTGTATGGCAGCAGTTTATTTGAAGTCCATGACTACTAATAACCTAAAGTAAAATATTACCCATGTAATAGATTTTGAAAGACAGAGGTATCATTTAAAATCTATTTCAGGTGTTATTTGCATAACAAAACTACCTGCCTGGTTGATTGACTGTTAACAGAGGTAGTAACAGGAATTGAGTATATAGGCAGAGAGTTAACGAATGTCAAACATGGTGCTTTTGTTCTGGTGTGTTTCATGTATTGTTTCTGCTCTGTTAATAACTGTACAGTAAGACATGAGTTCTTAAATTGTGCTGGTGTGATGTTCTTTTTCCACTGCATAACATGGTTATATAGACAGTAGGCATAATTACTGCTCTTGAACCTTGTATGACATTGCTATTAGGATCTGTAACCTGATTATGGCATTTCTTTGGGTAAGACTATATCAGGAAGTCCACAGATGTGCATGTAGTTAAAGTCCGTGTGTCTGCTCAGCTTCCTCTACGCTCACTCTTTCTCTCCTGTGAAAGACTTTTAAGGTGTATGATTCTAGACTTAAAAGATAGCTTGCTAATTAAGTGTTTTGAAAGTTTTAGACTGATAATAATGTGTATTAATAGACTCAATATCTGATCTTTTAGAGAAGCTAAATATTATATTTCAAGCTACAAGAAAGAGATTTGTTGCTTTTTTCCTTAAGATTTTCATTGATCTGTTGGCTACTAAGAATTTTAGTTTGACTGATTCAGTGTTCAAGTTGTATAAAATTAGTCATATGTATGTAGTGAAGGTTTTTCAATCCACAAGAGGAAACAGTGGGTATTTTGTCACTGATATCTTTTGGTAATCTAATTACAACAGCAACAGATATTGATGAGTAGAGAATTTACTGCACCAACACAAAATGTATTTCTACTGTATTTTTACCCAGCGTTTCACTGAGTATGTCCTGAATTCCATGAGAAGTGATAACCCTGTGGATCCTCTTGCTCATTTTTTTGTCTCTTGTGGAAGTACTTGTCTGTAGGAATAACATGTACCCTTTGCCTTCAGTGCTTCAGTTTGTGCCTCGGAACGTGGATATTGGGTTCTGCAACTTTAGCCGGCGCATTGAGAAAGGGCTGACGATGGCATTCATGGAGGTGAGCAAACACCAGCAGTTCTACAACTTCACTGTGCAGGTAAGAACATTAGCAAGTTTTGTGTCTGTCTCTTTTTCTCCTTACCTTTGGTTGTCCTGTGTTTCCCCCAGCCAGTAAAATGAATTAGATATTTGCTGGCTACCACTTGCCATCTAGATCATGTAGAACTATGAGGCTTTGTCATGAAGTCAGTTTTTTCCTTCCATACAGAATAATATGGCAGCACATATCTATCTGGTTTCAAGGTTTTTGAAAAAATGATCCAAGATGATAATTTATATCCAAAAGCATCATTGAATATAATAGGTTTTATAGTTTTTCTTACAAAGACTGCTCCAACCCTTATCAAAGTCATACCCATCAGATTTTACTGTTACAGAGTAGGGTGTGTTTAGAATGTTTTTGACAGAAGACAACTTTCAGATCTCGGGGGATCCTGTTAGGGAATGAATACAGGAGTTATCTGTACTCTGCCGTTATGTGAGCAAACATGCTAGTTGCTTCTGAGGTTTAGAAATACTTACAGCGATATATGATGTCCATGGCAGCTGCTACTGGAACTTCACAGATGAAATGTGTCACATATGTGCTGGGTACTGAATCACACAGCAGAGCTTAAAACTCCCTGGAAAGTCTGTAATTCAGCTTAATGAGACCAACTCCCTCTTCTGTCTGAATTCTTAAATTTAATCTAACTTTGCTATAATACCAAAATTAGTAAAAATTTTATCGTGTTATTAACTAGCACCATAAATGCCCATCTGTGATACTCTAAAATAAAATCATAGCAGGAAAAATGGCATAAATTTTATAGTACCTAAAGTACTTTATAGTACCTACAGTAAAGTGCTCAGAACAGTACAACTGAATGACACAATGTGACTGGATAGACTGAAGATAGAACACGCTAAACAATTTCTTGGACTATCAGCTTAGCAAACTTTTATTTTAAACACTTCCTTGCTGTCTGGAAGATTTGTCTACATGAACACAGTTGCTGCGTACATTGTTGCCAAAATAAGGCTTCTAGCCAGTGGTAGGATCTGGACATGCATCATGCAGAAGGTTTTGACCAAGAGAACATCCATTTTCAGAATGTTTCTTTACTATGGTCTCTTCCTGTCTGTTCCACACAGTTTGATATTCATCTCAGATTTCCTTATCAGTAGATTTATTTTGCTGACTGTCTCTCTGGGTGCTTTTTTTCATAATTTTCTGAACTGTAGCTTTCAGATAATTCTGGATAATTGGCCTTAAAGGATAACTCTTAGAAGAGGAATTCACATGTAACTTTACCTCTTCTGAGACTCAGCAGGCTGAATCAATCTGGAATAGATATTCCTCTGTTTTGATGTGAATTGCCCCCTCCTTCATATTAGGAGAAAAATTTCTGTCAAGGAAGGAATGGAAATGCCAGTGATGATTTTGATGACCCTGCTTCAATCTTGTCTTTTCAGATACTGAATATAACTCTGAGCAGGCCTGGGGCAGCGTTTCGGCAAGGCCCCGTGAGCATTGTTTTTGCTGTCCGAGATAGGTACGGTTTTCTAAATGGATCCGAAGTCAGTGAGCAGCTAAGAAACTTGTCTGTGGTGGAATTCAGCTTCTATCTGGGCTTTCCTGTGCAGCAAATTGCTGAACGTGAGTGCTTGCTGTTTACCAAGACTGCAAAATACTTTTTTAAATATTTTTTTCTCTACAATTTTAAAGTAATTTTGTGCATAAGTGATAACGCAGCTTCAAGTACCTAACTTGTGTCATGAATTCTGCAGAGCAAATCCATGCCCCTCTCTGTTCACATACTGCGTATCAGCGTTACAGCAACTTGTTGCTTTTGTCATCATCCTTTCCTTTTATGCTGGGCCAGTCGTGCTTAACCTGACTTCATTAGTCCATTGGTCTTAGTCCATATTGAAAAAAAAAAAAAAAGAGTCACTTTGATCAATATTGCTGTGAAGTGCAATCCATGGCATGTCTCTGTGGTTATGTCTACAGGGGCCTTTGCTGCTTCTCAGCAGGGTTTGCTACCTTGGCATTTGTGTTGCACTTAACTGTGGCTCTGACTTCTAGAAAGCCTGGGACACTGGCAACATAAGCTTATATTGCCCATAAAGTCTGTCTGGATGTTCCGTTAGTCAGCAGCAATGCTTTTCTGAGTAGTCTGTTATCTTTTACGGTATTACCTTTTAAGTATACCTCTCACTTCTTATGTACAACTTGCATTGCAAGTAATTTTTTCCAGTCCATGGCCATGCTAAACTTAGATTAATGGGAACTGTCTGAATAGCAAAGTTTGCTTAACACTCAGCCTTGACAACTTTTGTTTGGTTAGATTTTTCAGATGAGCTGTCTCACAAATAAGCCAGGTTTCTAAACTCAACGCTTATCCTTGTACACTAATAGATTGCTCATGACAGAAGTGATTCATGAACATAAACAATATTGTGAGAGAACAGTACTTACCTTTTGCCCCTGATGGGTGTTGCTGTTAACTCAGTCCATTAATTCCCTGTTTCTCCTACCTCACTGTGCTTTCCAATGCAGATTATTAATTTTTAGAATTATTTTTCTGAGCTATATAGGTGCACAACATCTGACACAGTGATTCTTGTTATACAGTTAAATGTCTAGTGGAAAATCAGGCCTAATGGTAGCTGCTGCTCATTATGCAGCTGTGCAGTAGTATGTCAATGAAGATACTGTAAAATGAGTGATTGTCAACAGAAGCTGTTCTCCATAGCACCTTTAAATCTATGTAAGATGATTGCACAGGCTACTTTCCCAATGACTAGAAGCAGTTTAAATGTACTAAGATTTTGAAACTTTTTGTTTTCATTTTTCAACACTTTTGAACCCTCTGCTCACATAATCAATTGAAAAATGTACAAGGTGGTTGACTCATTTCCATTAAACATTTCTGCTCTCATTCCGTCTTGCATAAACTGTACCTATGCAATCATGACTGTACTTAATTGAGCCAGGACCAAAAGCCTTGAGAATCCCTGTCCGTATATGACTAGCATTTCCTTTGTTCCTCCTGAGGCCACAGAACTTCTCAGGTTGTGAGCTGTCGTCTTTATTTATCTCGTACTGAATTAGAATTAAATGTTGATCTTACCTTGATTACTTGAAACACATTTCTCTTTGCTCTCTGTTATCTCTTTGTCTTGTTTTTGACACTTTGCACCTTTGCCCTAGAAGTTATTTAACTTCTAGTCTCTTGGGTAACATTTTCAGTGTCATGGGGCTTTTTTTTCCCTGTAGTTTTGTCCATATATTCTGGAGCAATGTTTGTAGTGAATTCACAGGCTGCCCCTTGCTGAGAATCCGTCTTCTGAGTTGTGCGATGGAGCTACGGTGCAATTAAATGACAACAGAATTTCTACCAAGGCCGGTGTATCCTGAAAGATAGGCTGGTTATAAGGGAAAAACATTCCTATTAAACATGCATGTAGACTCTTCTGATTTTCCTTTCCTGATGGTACTTAGGAAATTGGAAGTTAGTTCCTTTAGTGCTCGTAGCAGGAGCTCTCCTTGTGTTGTCTGCATGCTTATACTTCCTGGCCAGTGGGGCTGATTCCTGGCTAATGCCAGGGGAGCTCTGTGGTAGCGCACATGTTAATGAGAAAATCGTGCAAAGTAGAATGAGACAAGAGGTCAGGCAGTGCCTTTGGAAAAAGGTCCCATTTCGATTTCTCCTCCTTTCCTGACTACTGTGAGGATTTGCAATGAAGTAATTTAGATGTTGGCTGTTGTGGCCTGGCAAATTTAGTTACTGCAGTGGCATGTCCAAGCTTGTGGGTGAGTTATAGAAATAACTTTGTTTCTGAAGCTTCAGGAATTGTTTGTTTATTCCTATTGGTGATTTTAAACAAGTATGCTAACAGTGTGGTACTTCATTCCTGCAAATTCGAGCACAGGTCTTCAGACTTCAAACACAAAATTAGTCTTCCTCCCCTCAAATCCACCAAAATCTCCCAAACAATATCAAGCTTCAAATCCTCAAGCAGACCCTTAGTGTAGGAGGGCAGAGTTACTCATCAATGGTGACTAAGTCCATCATGATACACACTTTATTCCCAGATTCTCCTATTTGGAGCTCTTTAAAAATGCTGTTTCTTTGGTGCACATCCCCAGTAGCAGGGATGATGACAGCTGAACAAGCTACATATACACCCTTGCCTTCAACGACCCCACCTAACTGCTGCCAGAGTTTATCGATTGAATGTTGCCGACAGAGCATAGCGCTTGCCTCAGAGATCAAGCCAGAGTTTGGTGATGGTGGCGTCTGTTTGTTTGATAGAGAAATTTTGAGGATGACCTTCAAATTTGTCTAGACTGAATTTTCAAAACATTTAATGTTGTAATAAAATAAAATAAAAGATGTGTAATAAATCAAATTAAAATAAATATATTACATTTCAATTTAGTAATTCAGAATTTTTCAGAACTATAAGATCTTCCCAAAGTTCACAATGTAGAAAACATGAGGATTTGGTGGATATGGTGTCCTAAATCAAGGAGCATCTGCTGAGCATTTGACTTGCTTGTTGCTAGAGAAACTCATGTTTATTGTAGATTGAGCCCACTGCAGGACAGCTCGTTTTGATTTGAACTTGTCTAGTTTGGTCTCAATAGCACTTCGGCACGTTTGTAGTCCCTGTTTTGGAGCACCAGACACGGTGTGATTTGGTAAGACAGCAAAGTGGGAACACAGTTTCTCAGCTCGTTAGAGCTATGGATCTGTCTCTCAGCAAGCACAATAATGAACGTAGCTCATGTGCTTTTATAAGCGAGGCAACCACACTTGGTTATTTTTAGCTGTTTTTAAGTTTTTTGCACTGTTGCTGTGACTGAATTTTGAGCCAAAAGATTTTAGATCTTTGCTATTCAGAGACAGAAATCACATCCAAAGGCTCAGCAGCATTGGGCAGGTCCTTCTTGAGACCTCTTATTCAGCAGTCTGTTGAGGACGACCAACAGCCAGATCCTTAAAGCTACTTTGGCAGGAAGATGCCTAAATGTTTTTGTTTTCTAGGCCTTGAACTCTGCTTTCGTGCTGTCCTTCAGTCTACAGAGGACTCATAACAGGGAGGGTGTTGTGAAGATTTTCCTTAGATAGGTAGCTGCTTTGCTCTATGCAAATTAATATACAACTCTCTGCTTTTAAATATGAATTTTGGGAGGAATTTTGGATATTTATATACTTACATAGAAACAATTTACATATGTTATTGTTTATATGTAAATTGTTTCTATGTAAATATGAAATCAAACTCAGAGCATAACAGAAGAATCTGGTAAGTGGAGTGGTTACGTTGCCAAGATAAGGCAAAGAAGGAGGACTGGAAACTGCAGACCTTGGGAAGCCAACGACTGTCTCTCACCATCCACTTGACCCTTTGCTGTGAGTCCCCGAGACCTCTGCCAATATGGCCCTTCCCAAATAAACCTTGGAAGCAGCAGCAATGGATCAGATGAGGTGAAACCTTGGTGCTGCCCAGCCGACGGTTAGTTCCTCTCTTCCTTCCTCCAAGGAAATCTCTGTGTCTGCTTTGCTTTCCCCATGACCTGCCTCGAGCCTTACCTCTGCCGTAGGACATGGCTGCAGTACAGGTCTGGGCTTGGCGAGTTCCCCTTGACTCAGCTCCTTGGGACTTTGAATCTAAAACAAATACATAAAAATGGATTTCCTGTTTCCATATCACTGGTGTGATAACCAGTTTCCAATATTGTCTCCAGAGAAAAGAATGGCCACAAACTTAGGAGAGTTATGGGAGGATGACAGGATCACCATTCTATGAGCCTTCCTCTCAAAAGAAGAAAAAAAGGAAAGAAAAACCCCTCCCTCTCCTCTAGAATCAACCACTGACCTGGAACCGGCTCTAGAACCAACAAGCAAGCTAGAGTGCAGTCTGGAACCCACTCTAGAACAAGTGAGCTAGACCCTGCTCTAGAACCAACCAGCAAGCTAGAATGTGCTCTGGAACCAAGTAGTAAGCTAGATTGCAATCCAAACCAAAACAACTGTCTTGATCCAACACGTGAGCTAGAAGTTCAAGACCATCTTCCTGAACATGAAATTGAGTACAGAACAATCAGGAACCAGTAAGCAAATTGAATCCCAACCTAGTTACATAACAATCAGGAACCAAAACCAAACCCCAATCTACAACCAACAAGTGACCTAGAACATGCTCCTTGGGACTTTGAATCTAAACCAAATACATAAAAATTGTTTTCCTGTTTTCATATCACTGGTGTGATAACCAGTTTCCAATTTTGTCTCCAGAGAAAAGAGCTAGAACGTGCTCTAGAACTGAGTGATTTAGAACCCACTCTAGCACGAACAAGTGATCTAGAACCATGATCCGAGTGAGAGCCCTGTCTAGAGCCAAAATTAAGCTCTGGAGTCCACAACACAAGAAGGATGTGGAACTGCTGGAGCGAGTCCAGAGGAGGGCCACGAAGATGATCCGAGGGATGGAGCACCTCTGCTGTGAAGACAGGCTGAGAGAGTTGGGGTTGTTCAGCCTGGAGAAGAGAAGGCTCCCAGATGATCTTATAGCAGCCTTCCAGTACTTAAAGGGGCCTACAGGAAAGCTGGAGAGGGACTTTTTACAAGGGCATGTAGTGATAGGACAAGGAGCAATGGCTTTAAACTGAAAGAGACAGGCAGATTTAGATTAGATATAAGAAATAAATTTTTCACTCTGAGGGTGGTGAGGCACTGGAGCAGGTTGCCCAGAGAAGTTGTGGATGCCCCATCCCTCGAAGGTTGGGGCATCCACAGGATGGTTGGATGAGGCTTTGAGCAACCTGGTCTAGTGGAAGGTGTCCCTGCCCATGGCAGGGGGGTCGGAACTAGATGATCTTTGAGGTCCCTTCCAACCCAAACCATACTGTGACATGTTCCTTGCCATATTGTTCTATGCTGTTTGTATCTTAGTTATCAGACATGGTAACAGTTAATACTCTTGGTGATGACTTTTTCTTCCCCTGAGGGCTCTGTATATAATTTTCTAAGTTTTATAGTCTGCATCTGAAGAAAAAGAAATTATTTGTAGGTGAGCTGAGCTGTCAGGGAGTTGAAGTTGAGTCATACTAAGGAAAAGCTACTTGTGCAATATCACTGTATCTCAGCACTGTTAAGTGAAGTGAGACCTTGCCATCGATATCCCGAATATGAGCCTTGTTCGAAGGAACGTATTTGCTCCCTGCTGCTTATTCGCTTCACGTTGCCTTTTACTGGATTTTTCACCTAACTAATATGTGCTGTTTATATTTTTGACTGTGTGGGTTGTCCCTGTGCAGTATGTCAGTAACAGGAATTTTTTGTCAGCTTTTTCCATTCATTTATAGTCAGAGTCAGTAGTGAAAGTTATTATTTTGACAGAATAGACTGTTCTGTGCAGGACTAGGGCTGTTGGAGTGGCTAAGCCTGGAAACTTCCAGACATTTTTCTTTCCCCCACAGACTTCTAGGTGACTTCTGCAACATGCTTCTATTCAAATGTTCAGTTTACAGCTTCCTGCATGCTTATTTCGCATTGTCCACCTTGCATCTCACATTTTAGATTGTAAACTTGTTAGATGGTTGTGAACTACATGTCATCAGAAAAAAAACCCAAGACTAGTCACGGTTTTTGAGTGCTAGTTTATTAAAAGCAACAGGAAACAATATATTCGGTATCTCTTTATGGCTGAAAGATTTCTCTGACTACAGGCAAAGGCTAACTGTGAACTAGATGAGGAATATTGGCCTTCATGAACTCAGCCCGAATAAATCTCTTTGTTTTTATTATGGCTTTAAATAGAGGGAGTTGCCTTGGGACTTGCTGTTTTTTCAGTGCTGTAAGTAGCACTTTGGGTGGCATCTATTTGGGATATCTTGGAGATGTTGCAAGGCCAATAGGGTAATATAAAATCATATGATGCAGTCTAAAGACTGCAGAAATATTTGGCAATTTTTATCTGGATGGATTTTGGATCAGACTTATAACAGATAGTGTATTACTATTGCCTGCACCCCAGCATTTGCATGGAATCTTATTTTTCAGTTGGTACCTTCTCATTCCAAATACTACGTTCTCACCATGTTTTCTATGACTGTTCCTCCACTTATAAGAAATAAGAATGATCAATATGGTACTGGTTCTGTCCTGTATGGTTCCACACATCTCTGTACGAGAGAGTCAGAGAGATCCATGTTGGAGCATCTGACGAAGGTCATGTTTGTGTGCTTCAAGCTGCCGCCAAGAGGTTCCTGGCTGAATAGGTGACCCTTTGCCTCTTCAGTCAGCATTGAATCAATGCTGTTATGCTGTGTGGTGCTTCAGGGCTGTGCATTAGAATAATCTACTTCATTAATGCATCTACTTCATTAATGCATCTATAGTCATTAGCAGAGCAGCTGTAATCTAACTAATAATTGCATTTTGTCTGTCCAACTTACCCCTCAGAATAACAATCAGTTTGTGCTGGTTTTAATCGTGAGTTCCAGAGGGTATTAGGAGTCTTGCAAATATGATCTTACTGCAGTTCTAAGACTCCAGCTGAGCTCAGGATCTGGCCACGTGTGCTGGTGAGACACTTGAGTGACCTATGGAATAAGAGCTGGAACGTGGATTTTCTGACTTTTGAGCATGGTCTCAGTTGCAGAAGTGCCCATCATTTCATGCATTCTTTGTGGGTTTTAGAACCCAGCCTTAGTTGCCGATGATCATGGCACATCTTTCTTTTCAGTTTCAAGATTTTCTGCTCAAGTTGTTTTATTTTTAAATTTCATTAATTCCGTGAAAAGTTTAAGTGAGTAGTCATCCGGCAATTTGCATGAATTAAATCATTTTCAAGTACTAATGAGAAAAAGTGTGAAGAGCACATTAAGTATTGAGGCAAAACATGACTTTTATTTAAAAGAAGAAAAAAAACTCACAACTGCTAGCACTTCAATGCTTTATGGACATTGGAAGGTTTTTGATTTTCTTATCTTGCTCTTTCCATGCTTTGGAAAAACAACAGATGCAGTTTAGTTTATGCTTTTTTGTTCAGGTTGTATTTCTAAATTGAAATAAACAATTGCCTGACCAGAGAAAATAGAACTCCAATCTAAAAGCTACAATCAGAAGAATCATGTAGCAGTAAGCTGGAAATAAATGTATGTGTTTAAATGAACTGTGAGGTGCTTTTTGTGTGTCTGAGTTTTGGAAATTCGATGCATCCTGGTCAGTGTATAGAGGGCCGATGTTTCCTGTTCAGAATAAAGGACCATATTCTGGTACTCTCCTGAATAGTAAGTCACAAAGTACCTCCCGGTTGGTTCTTCTGAAGCTAGTGGTGCTATTATTGAAGTGAAGGTGGAATAACCAAATTTTTTTTTTTTTTCCATAGTACTATTTATAAATCTATGAAAATAAAAGGTATGACACAACTAATGGTTCTTTTGCTTTTACCTTAACAAAAAATTCTGAAGTTTTTTAAGGGGCAACAGAATCAATTTTTAGGTACACTGTCAGAGGTCAGCTACTCTATAAAATATTGCACAATTAAATTAGAAAAATGGTAATTTTCTGTTTCTTTGAAACATGCGATAGTGGCAAACTAGTCTACAACTGAAGACAAGACATCTTTACTCTAAATTGATCTAGCATGGGCCAGGTCATTTAATTGTTATGGGCTGCATTCTTTCAATCCATGAAATGGTTTAAAAATTAACCTTTGTATAATGCTTAGGAAACTGCATCTGGATTAAATATTTTGAGAAAGTGAAGACCATTCTTTTTCCTTATCGCCATAGTGAAACTTAAGATTTCCCTTGAGGAAACTGTTGGCCCAGCCCCCATCTTCACTTGTTTCCCAATATGCCTTTACTGCTCTCCAGTGGAAACCTTGGGAAAAACCTTATCCCTACTGAAGTCAGTAGAAACAGACTTTATTTACCTCACTGGGGCAAGGATTTCAGTCTGGAGTAGAGGTTTTTTTTTTTTTAAATTAAGAAAGCCCAGAGCCACCAAGCCAGACACAAATGCCATGAGATTTGCCTACAATAATGTTTCTACATGCATTTATTTGTGATTTTTGTAAAAAAAAAAAAGAAATTCAAGGTGGTGTTTTTTAAATGCTTCCCCCTGCACAAATCTGGAACACAGATCAGATATATTTAGTTTTCTGCGTTACATCTCGTGTTTCCGTGTAGTTTCTGCCTCAGAGAAGGTCTTATTTTCATTCTGAGACACTCATGAGTTGCCTTGTTGCCCTTTGAGCAAAAGTCTGATCCTGCAACTAGCTCAGTAAGAGTCACAATTCAGATAGGGAACTTCTTAAATTTCTAGGCGCAATGACCTGGGTGCAGCAGCTTGAAATCTTTCAGGTGATGAATCTGACTGCTTCACTTAGCTTCTTTTTGTTCGGAGATGAACTAGGGAGCGTGTGTTTGGAATGCTTTCCTTACCATTGTGTCTGCATAGCCTCAGGAGTAGTAGTACGTCTGTGTAAATAAGATGCTTACTGACAGTATAAATTATGAAGTGGCTTCTTTTTTTTGTGTATGTTGTCAAGAATACTGTTCTTACGGATATTTTTCCTCCATTCTGTTTTTCCCTCAGCCTTTCATTATCCTAAGCTTAATGTGTCTCAGTTGATGAAATCTTCCTGGGTGAGAACAGGTACGTACAATCTCTGTGAGTAAGTAAGAGTGCAATTATTTTTGTTAGCAGGATAACTAGCGTACATAAATATTGATAGCTTAGGGGTGCTGCATTCTTGTGAGGTAATAACGTGCCTGAGCTGAATAAATTCTAAAACCAAAGTTTAAACCAAATTCTAAAACCAGGCCTAGTGACCTGGAATATCTGGGAAATGTAATTTCCAAGTCTAGAATGAAATACCGCAATTCCTTGATATTGCACACAAAGTACTTTTTGTCTATAAAGCAGATCATTCTTAGTGAGACAACTTACACTGTCAGGATATTATGTGTTTACTCTGCATGCTGTCAATATACCACATTGATTTTTGTTTGTTTTTTTTTTTTATTTTATCATTTTAAGTGAAAATTAAAATTTTATTTGTGTGGCACTTTCTACTAAAACATGCCAGCAATAAAACAGAATGAAAATAGATACATTCTGAGTACATGAAAGAATTTCATCACATTTCATTGATCTCTTCTGATTCATTCACAGCAGATCCCTCCCACCCAAGTCTTTCGGATGTTTTATTCTGTAATTCACAGATATGGTTGAGCTGTCACATTGAGATGCTCAAAGGCTGCCAAGGTTGCCTGCGCGCTGTAGGTCCTAACTGATTCTTTTAAGGAGAAAGCCTGAACGATGACCAGGCAGAGCCTACCAAACTTGCTGTTAGAGTGCTGATGCCCCACTGGATACACTTTTGTCTTCCCACAACTTTACCATCTGTAGTTCATCAGTAGTATAGACTTACTCTTTTTTCAGGTATCTCTGTCTCCTCTCACCAGTGATCCAGTTTACTTTTTAAACAGGAAACCAAGTTGCAACTTAATTTCTGAAGCCCACACAGTTTGTTTTAGAGAAGAAAAATGGAGAGTTTCAGATCATGTTCAGTAACATGAGAGAAGCTATGTGCATGTCTCCCACACCCAATGTCATCCTTCCTTAGAGATTTATTTATGTTGGCTTTTTTTGGTCACATCCCCACCCTCTCTTGCTCAGCCTTAGATTTGCTTTGTCTGTTGTTGCTGGGAGTTCCCTTAGATCCTGCAGTAAGAGGGTTCTTCCAGCTCAGAAATCATGTCCCTTTGGGTTTTTCTGAACTTCCTGACTGTAAGATTTTGAAAGCCAATTGCAGCACCTTTTTTGCAGTAGAGGAATTTCTTGTAATCCCAGTTCTTGCAGGGAGCCTGGGAAGAGCTAGTAGACTTTGGCTGGATCAGTCCTTTCAGTCTGTATATACTGTATTGTAAGAATAAAGAATCATGACATAGGAAAATGATGACATTTATGCACATAAAGATGAGAGGTTTAATATTAGATTACCCAGACATATGTGCATGTATCCCAATAGTCATAAAACGCTGGGATACGCAGTGTTCTCTGTAGCTGTCCTTCTCAGTTTTAGAACATAGTTCCTGCTATGTTTCATTGATACTGAAATTCAATACACAGGTCTTCTGCTTGCTGTATATAATAGCCTTAGGCCACTGTCTATTTATTTTGATATTTAATTCTGAGATATTTAGTCTATGATTGAATTTAGAAGACAGATGATGTTGATCCCTATGAGAAATCGTGAAAATGTTTTCTTTTTCTGACATCTGCAGTGAAAATTTTTAAATGGAAAAAGTGGTTTTAATATTTTTGTTCCATTAAAAATTTCATAAAAATATCTAGTTGGATGACTCTTTATTAAGCATCAAACTTAAAAAAAATAAGCATGAAAACACTTATTGAAAAAAAAAGACTTCTAAAAAATACAGACCAATTTAGAGGAGAGCCTCAGGAATGAAAACTGTATTTTACTGCAGTCAGCAGTGAGTTGGTTTACTATCCTTTAGGGTTGTTTAATTAGGTCATTTGAATGGCTGTCGCTTCATTCACTCTACTTTTCTTTTACTGGATGACATTTTGTTAGTTAAAGGTCCACAATTTATTTTCATTTTTCCTATGTGATGTTCCTTGGGGATTCCTCTCAGCGTTAGCTGCCCCAGTGACCCAGAGTACCTGGGGTTGGGAAGTGAAGTGAGCAGGGCTACTAACTGGGTTTTTTTTTGTGCTGTGATTGCCATACTCGTTTATCTTATCTGGGAAAGATGCACTTGGAATACACATCTTCATTCACGTGCTGCTGGTCTTCTATTTTTTCTCCTTGATTCTGGACCCTTGCCCTGCCCATCTTCACCTCTGTGTATCACTTTCAAACATAACTGCTGAAAGTAGTTGCAGGAGACAATTTAGACTGAATTTTCTCTTTTGTTTGTTTTTAAACAATTTGTTAAATGCTCATAAGTTTGGAGTTTTTTAGAATTGAAACTTTCTTCAATATCCTTAGTCTGTCTAGACTAGTTGAGATTTCAAGAATGGCCTCTGCCCTATTTTGTATTTTTTTTTTTTAATTTATTTCTTCTAACATTTTCCCACCCAATGTCTTCCTTTACAACATGTAACCTCTGGCTGACTCAGGCAGTATTCCCATATGAATACAGCTCTTGAATTGTCCATGAGATGTCACAAGGTGACTCAAAGCTTGTAATTGAAGTTGCAAGAAAGACACTGAAAAGTTTTACTAATTCATTTGTGTTCTTGGGTTACTTTCTCTGCAATGTAGTTCTCTTGGGTGTCGTCGACCAGCGAATTCAGGAGGAAGTGTTTCAGGCTGAGATGGAGCGGAAACTAGCTCACCTGTTAAACGAGGCTTTGGTCAGAGGGCGGATATGGAGACGAGCCAGTTTTGCAGGCAGCAACATTGTGCAGGTATTAAGAGCTCAAAGTCAGAGGAAGAAATAAAGGGTAATAAATTACTGAATAAGTTAATATTGTCTAGGTTTTGGGTTGATAAAGATAACTCAAAAGCATGCATCGTGTTTAGCTAGTTGATGACATTTGTGTTTTGCACCTAAAATATGGTTCTGTTGGATACTTTGTTGTCTTTTAAGCTAAACAAAAGAAATGGAAACAACTGAGTATTTTAAGTGGCTACTAAAAAGTTCTGATGACTTCTTAAAAACAATATTGAAAATTATTTTACATCCTATTTTAACAACTTGCTATCTTGTCTGACTTACATGAGGTGCCTAGCAAAAGGAGACAGGATGGTCATCTGAGCAAAAAAAGTGCTCTGCTGGAACAGCTACTTCACAGCTCTCTGTGGTGGTTTGGTGGTGGTGTAGAAATATGAAATAGAATCATGTGCACCTTGATGCAGCAGCAGAATAGTATATTCTACCCCCTAACGGCCTGTTTGTCGCAGTAGTCTTGGTCACAGGAATGGCTTTCAAGTAGGAATGATTAATGATGTCAAATTTTGCACACATGGCAGCTTCTGCTATCTGGATTCCAGTACTGCTTTATACTTTTGTCACAGGTGGAATTATTCACATAATGTCCAGGAAGACTTGGATATTTAATTTTAAGTTCTAAATTCTCACGTGTTCTTTCTATTCAGTTAAACTAAAAGCCAAAATACTTTGGCTCATCTTCTTAAAAATTACTGTTTCCAGCTAATTCATTGACAGTTGGTTTACTTCACAGATGCCCTTCTACTAATACAAACCTATTAGCTTTATTTACTTTTATCCTACAGTTTTTGCTACCACTTACATTTCCAGGTGTTGGGATTTTCTTGTTTTTGTTATCCTCTCTCAGAAACATCTGTTTCAGTAATAGAGATTTTATTTTTTCTTTTGTGTACTTTTGAATTGTTGTAAATGGATGTCTGCTTCAGATCTTCTATTCCCAACACTTCTTATTGCACTTTGTTCTTTATGCCTCAGTCCTCTCTTTGCATATAAATTAAACAAATACTCTTTATGTTGCTAGCAAAGATACCACAGCCTATAAAATGTGTACATGTAGATTACGGTTTTACTGTTTTACATAATAAAGCTCAGGTGATTTATTTTTGCATGCACAAAATTACAAGCACGTCCTTTCTAGCTAAAGAACAGTATTTTGGAAAGTGAAAATACAGCATTTTTGTTACGACTTTGTATTACTTACTGGGACATAAGATGAGGTCTGCAGCTTATGTTCCAAACAGCAGTGCTGCTCATTTACACCACTTAATTAGTGCAAAGAGTCTGCAAACTGCTGTCTTTGGGCAGTGGAGGATTCTGTTAGTTATGGTCAACACATCACATCATCCCACATAACACAGGGCTTCTCCAGGTGCTCTCTGCCTGTGCTGTTAGATGGGGTTAGCACTGTAATAAAGGAGATGTGGAAGAAGGAAGGCTGAAGGAAATACCTTGCTGCTGGGTGTCTGTGATAGATGTTGTGCTTTCCTGCACAAGAATGGTAGGTACCATCAGGTGCTATAGCTTCTTGGTAGCTTGCTTTGGCAAGGATGTTCAGGTGTGTGGTAGGTGAGATGGCCTTAGAAGCTATTGTGTTCAGCTGGAGTGATGCACCGGTAGTGGGCTTCTGAGTGGAGGAGGATTTATTTCAGAAAGCCAGCTGTATCCTGGGCTGCATCAAAAGCAGCATGGCCAGCAGGTCGAGGGAGGTGATTCTGCCCATCTACTCTGCTCTTGTGAGACCCCACCTGGAATACTACATTCAGGTCTGGAGTCCACAACACAAGAAGGACATGGAGCTACTGGAGCAGGTCCAGAGGAGGGCCACGAAGATGATCCGAGGGATGGAGCACCTCTCCTGTGAAGACAGGCTGAGAGAGTTGGGGCTGTTTAGCCTGGAGAAGAGAAGGCTCCAGGATGATCTTATTGCAGCCTTCCAGTACTTAAAGGGGCCTACAGGAAAGCTGGAGAGGGACTTTTTACAAGGGCATGTAGTGATAGGACAAGGGGCAATGGCTTTAAACTGAAAGAGGGCAGATTTAGATTAGATATAAGAAATAAATTCTTCACTCTGAGGGTGGTGAGGCACTGGAGCAGGTTGCCCAGAGAAGTTGTAGATGCCCCATCCCTGGAGGTGTTCAAGGCCAGGTTGGATGAGGCTTTGAGCAACTTGGTGTATGGAGGGTGTCCCTGCCCAGGGCAGGGGAGTTGGTACTAGATGATCTTTGAGGTCCCTTCCAACCCTAACCATTCTGTGATTCTATGATCCTTTCAAGTGTGCTCCTAGTTAAGGATCTGGTCCATAGTCATTTGCAATAAACCTTTCGGTTTTACTGTTACTAGTTCTATTGAATCCTCATAGCCAAGTTTATAACTTGTGTTTGAAGTGTGTTGTATATATGCATCTGTTTGTGTGTTCAGGGAGAGCTGTTCATGTTCTTGTGCTTTATATGCAGATTTTTCCATATATATTTCTTGCACACAAACTACTGACTGCTAGGGTAGTGAAAATAAAAACAGAAACTGCTGCCAGTAACACTGAAGCATTGCATGCTTTTATTAGCAGGACATGCATATGCCCACGAAAGACTAGACACAAGTTTCACTTGTGCTGAGCCCCTATAGACCTGAGTTTTTCCTGAGGTGAAAGATATTTATAGTGTATTGAAATGTGACATTTCTAAGCTCTGTGGAAAATCAGGACTGTGGGTCAGAAGGTGAAGCAATTATTTGTGACTTTTACTGCAGGCATATTACTTTCCTTTCACATAGTAAGAAAATAGAAGTGATATCTTGTGAGGTTTAGATTTCGTTTCTAAAGGCATGTGTTAGGATCTAAGAATGTTAAAAATTACTCTTTAAATCTAAACACTTTGAGTAAGAGCTTTGGACTACCTAGGGTGCCTGAATAGGATGCTTTCCCCTCCCATTTGCCTATCTGTGCTGTTAACAGGTGGCACTCCAGGATAAAAAATTTAAAAAGCCTATGAATGTTGCATACAAAAAAAAACTCTGAAGCCTTGCACCTGACTGTTAAACATGAGATAGTTCCATTCATTTTTGTGTGACACTCATATTAATATATGTTTCACAGAGCAAGTCATATATATTTTTAATATGTATCTGCTGTTGCTGCAGATTGGAAGCACGTGTTCGGTTTGCGTTGCATCCGCAGGGACTAGGCCCTCTGCTATGTTTTGTCAATAGTTTGCCATAATAACTCAGTTCTCATTAGTTTTTTTTAAATATTAAATGCCTTAATTGTAGTTAAGCCAATAGTAGTAGCTAAAAATACACCAGGAGCTAATACAAAAATAATTAGTTTTCCTTCATTTCAGCGTGCTTTGTCTTTTGAACCCAATAGGAAGCAACAAGGTGATCCTACGCAGCGTCAAACAGCATGATGTTCTGATTTAAAGAGCACATCAGGTGACGCTGCAGTTACGCGTGTGAGAAGACAGTAGCTATGGGGGTGCGAGATGACTGAGCTGAGCTTTCCGCTAAGGCGAACGGTCATTCCCTGGGTTTTCTACCGACGGCGTGTGGGTCTCTCCCGAGCGCCTGCTCTGAGCCACGGCCGGTCCGGCTGAGCGTTC